ATAGTTTATCCTCCATCCAGAAAGACATATCCCCTCCTCCGATCCTTGACGAACTTGGGCAGGCTTCTTCTATATGTGCTTTTTCCATGCTACTATCAGAGGAATACAAGACCATAGCATTGCTAGCACTAGGGGTTTTAACCTCCGAAAGGGTCTCACCATCTCTTTGAGGGTCAGCAACCTCTGAAATTAACACCCCGCTGCTATAGGAATGTCCAGAACCATCAATAGTGTAGCATGGTGGAAGAGAGCATGGAACCCTTGGCGTCATATTAACTGAAAGTACTGGTCCGACACTAACATCAATTCGGGCATGCTCAACAATCACCCCAGAAGAAGAAGAAACTTTAAGTGTGGCCTCAGCCCAACTAAGCCCATGAGCAGGTGAGGGGTTGATGGAACCGGGTCCATCAGAGGCGGTGGGCCGTGGATTGACAGCACCATCGTTAGCCGATTCTGCCCCTGCAACATCGGCCATCGTAGAGGGGCACAGGTCACTAGAANAGCGGTGGGCCGTGGATTAACAGCACCATCGTTAGCCGGTTCTGCCCCTGCAACAGCGGCCATCGTAGAGGGGCACAAGTCACTAGAGCTCGGTGAAGAAATGCCACTGTGTGAAGCACCATGGCCAGAGGAAGGAGGAACGACTGTTCCCATATGCTTAGGAGCCTTGCCATGCGCAGCTTGAAATAAACTGGGCCCTTAGGATCAATTCTAATGGAGTTGGGGAAAGTAGTTGGGCCCATGTGAGGAGGCCCAGGCCTATACTTGCTGAAAACTTTTCCGGCCCTATGACAAGTAGAAGAGGATCGTCCCATTCTGCTTTTCCAGCCCGCCTCACTGACCCATTCACGTCTTCTCCTCCTGTTATAATTTTGTCTTCCTCCCCCAATTTCAAACCCCCCGTCTCTTCTCGACCTAACGTCTGCTTCCGACTTAATCCAGTGATCCGGTGAGCCCTCCCCTCCCCTCAGAGACTGTTTTCCCCTCCCCTCCCTTCTATTTGACCTTCCCTTTTCTTCCGTCGCTATCACCGGCATAAAGATAGGGCGAAATTCAGGGCTCAACCAAACCCTATAACTCAGGGTGCCATCTTCCACCACAGTGGAGACGGGGATCCTGCCCCCTTTCCTCACAACAATCCTCACTCGCGAGAGATCGTGTAAACTGCAAGTGACATCAATAAAAACCCCACAGATTTCCCCTATCTTCTTGAATAGGTCAAGACACCAAAGATGCACCGGGAGACCCACCATGTTGACCACCAATGTTTCGCCAGTGAAGCGAGGGTCAAGACACCCATCATGCTCCACCCATCTGTCTAGATTTAAAAAGTTCCCATCGAACCACCTGTTTCCTCTGACAAGAATTTCTGAAGCTTGAGACTTGTCAACAAAACGAAAGAGATATTGGGTATCCCCCAATTGCGATATTTTCAGCCCGTCCTTGACGTTCTATGCCTCTGCTGCCCAGTTCCTAACAGCCTCCGGAGAACCAACCCATTTGGAGAAAGACCCAATGAGACTAGATTCCAAGAAACCCTTGCGCCTGAGAGTGTGCTCCTCGGACAGCGAGAAGTGCAGCTCCTGTCCTACGTCGAGCTTTCGATGGCATCTTCCCCCAAGTTCTAGGGCTGGCCAAGAGACAGCTTTGATAAAAGACATGTTTTTCAGTTTTCTGGATTCTAAAGAGAAAAAGGAACTTCTCTCTGTACAATCCATCATATTCTAAATGCGACTGTCCCGGAAAAACTAGCCGGAAAAAACCTCAATAGTTGGAATAACAGTATTCACAGTGGGTGAAAACAGTATATAGGAAGGGAGTAAGGTTTTCTCGTACTAAACAAAGGAAACAAACGTCAGAATCTGGGGTTTAAAGGCCGGAAAAAGAAAAAGTCGTCGGAATTTGGTGAAACTTGTACGGGATGGCTCGGAAATGCCTCGAGAAGAGGCTGTCTGAAGAAAGTTTTTTTGAAAAGTCGCCGGAAAAGGCCACACGCACCGGCGCGTGGCAGTAACTCGCCGGAAAGTCAGGCGAGTTGGCGGCGCGTGAGGGCGCGTAAGAGCTCGGATGCAGGGGGAATTTACTAGGGTTTGGTCGCGGGGAGCTTGGCTCTTGATGGGTGTGGTGGAATTTTAGGAATAAGAAGAGATGGAAGAGGCTCGGCCATAGAAAGCACTGTTCAGGCATGCATTAGCAGACCTAGGGTTCAGGCACTGTTCAGGCATGCATTCCTGACATTACACATATGTCAGTATCCTTGCTGCTTTGATCTAGTGTTAGTCTTAGTCTGTCTCTTTCTATCTATAGTTTTCGTTTTTCATTGGCGTCTTTACCAGTTGGACATTAAAATGCATTTGTTCATGGGAATTTAGAAGTTGAAGTATATATGGAGCAACCACCGGGTTTTTTTTGCTTAGGAAGTCTCTGGTAATATGGTGTCCAGGCTACGACAATCACTCTCTGGCCTGAAGCAGCCCCAGGAATATGGTTCGACAAATTCAGCAACGTTATTCAGGAATTTGGCACGACTTGCAGTGAAGTGCTTCATTCTGTGTCTATCGACACTCTGCTCCTGATCAGTGCATGTGGTGGTTCATACTGGTTTATGCTAATGATAAAGTCATTAAGGTAATGATAAGGAGGGAATTACCAAATTGAAGCACCATCTTTTTCAACACGTTCAGACCATGGACCTTTGATTTGTTGAGGTACTTCTTAAAGTACTCAGGTTTGAGGCTGTCCATTTTAATTCAAAAAGAAGTATTGAGGTTGTTCTATCCAGATCAGGTTGTTATTTCACAGAGGAAGTATCCCGAAATATTCTTAAAGAGACAAGAATGACAACTTGTAATTGATACTTCCATGAATCCGAATGTTAAGCTTCTACCTGGTAGATATGGGAGGTTGGTTGGCAAGTTAAATTATCTCACTGTGACACTGACTTGACCTGGCATTGCTTTCATAGTGAGTCCTGTTAGTCAGTCCCTATATTTTTCTCCTTGTGACAGTCATTGGAATGTGTGATTCGTATCTTTTGATAATAAAATTTGCTCCAGGGAAAGGACTACTTTATGAAGATCTAGGACATGGCAGATTGGACAGGGTCACCCTCGGACAAACGATCAACCTATAGATACTTTGTTCTAGTTGGGGGAAATTTAGTATCTTTGAAAAGCAAGAAAAAAATGTAGTTGCAAAATCAAGTGGAGAAACAGAATATCGGGCTATAACACTGGAAACCCGTGAACTCATATGAATCAAGCAACTATTAAAGGTTTAAAACTTGGAGAGATTAGTCAAATGAAACTTGTGTGTGATAATCAAGTTGCGCTTCACAAAGCATCAGACCCAGTGTTTCAAAGGATCAAGTACATTGACGAACTTATTTCCCAGCTAGCCCTTCACCAATGGTGTTCCTTCTATAAAAATGTTAGGAATATGATCATAGCAGTAGAATTACATTTCAGAGAAAGTTTGCTTTGTTTGGTTAATGCAATAAAAAGACTTTAAATAGTATGAGTAACAAGATATCTAAGAGAGAAAAGAAAGACAAACACCTATATAGAATGCAAACTACGAACAAACCTGAAGAGGAGTTCCAGTCAAAAGAGTACGATGTCTGCTAGAGTACTGCTTCAATGAAGAAAACAACTTCGAATCCTTGTTTTTGAGACGGTGACCTTCATCAACAATCTAAATACAAATGTCAGCAACCTTGGAGGCAAAGCACATATAAACAGCAAACAACACACTTGAGAATTAAAGTAATTACCATGCACTCCCACTTTATTGGCTTTAGAGAGGCAGAGTCCATGTTGATCATTTCATATGATGTCAGGAGGACATCAAATTTTGTTAGTTCTTTCTTACTTTCACCAACTGTCTGACCAGATTTCTTTTTCTTGTGCTTGAGAGAATTTTTAGGAAAGAAAAATTCATATTCCCTAATAACAGCACGAGCTTGTGCAGAACCAACGTACATAACCTACAGTATCACTTCTCTTTAGAAGAACTATATCAAATATTCATGATACGGAAGTCGAAAGAAATCCCAACTTACCACATTCATTTGAGGAGCCCAAGTGGCGAACTCCCGCTCCCAATTTCTCAATGTTGAAAGAGGAGCAACTACTAAATGAGGAGAGATATCCTCCTCAAAAAGAGAAGCTAGGAAAGCAATACTCTGTATTGTTTTGCCTGCAAGCCTTACAAAGCATCAGAAAAGAACAAAGCCACAGTGTAATAGAAAAAACTATATCGAAAAAGATAAATCGAAACAGTAATTCACCTAGAAGTCACATCGAAGTAATCATATAAGAAAAGGATACAAAAGGATTAGAACAGTGGAAGAACAGAATAAACTCACCAAGCCCCATCTCATCTGCAAGTATCACATGTGTTTGTTTAGACCAAGCAAAACGTAGGAAATTAAGCCCTTCCAGCTGATACGGATGCAGCAAGCCTTTATTTCAATCATGAATGAAGATTAATAGAACTCTTTCAGATGAATAGAATGGCATTTAATGAAGGAAAATCGAGGATACCTCCAGAAAGAAATTCGGGACTGCTTTCATACTGTTGAAATTCTCTGGGTTTTGGTTTTGATTCAGTGGTCTCGTTTGGCCCACTTTTTTGTTTACTGGAAGAAACTTTGTCATATCGAGACTGAACTCTATGATATCTTTCAATTTCAAGCTGAAAAGAAGAAATGTCCGATTCAAATTCCCAGTAACACTCATCATAAGGAAGCTCCTTCCACTTTACAAGATACTCTTTCTCTTCACCTTCTCCCCTGTAAGTTCAATAGCATAGTTACTCAGTGCAATTAACCTGAAACTTACACTAAATTCCAAATAATACACCAAAGGCCACATGCACATGAACTATTTAAGAAAAATAAAACTAAAGAAAATAGGTGCTATAACAGCCTCTGCAAAAATTTATATATTGATTATTTGTTCTTTCTGCAGCACAAAAATAGGGATTTTATTAATGAGTACCATTAAGGTACAAAAAGAGAAAGAAGAAAGAGTAAGGTTCAAAAGAGGGAAAAAATTGTCTTAGCACAAAACCGCGAGCATCAAATGTACTATCTTTCCTAGAGAAACTTTCTAAAAGAAACCCTGTATGGATATGTTGTAAGGTCAGAAAATCTTCACATGGGTGAACATCGTCACTCCATGTCTGTTTATGAAAACTGATTCTAGCACATTTGGCCACTTAATAACTTATATTTCATTAAGACGCATCGCAACATTCCACTAGCACCAACATCCTTAATGCAATGAGTGAAGTATCTACATAAGAGCTATCTAAATCCTTCTAAGAATTGACAACAAATGCAAAGTACCTATGTTGGTGGGAGGTGACAGGTACTCAATGGAATAGTCGAAGTGTGCAAGCTAACCCGGACACCACCGTCATCAAAAAGAGCATATAAATTAACCATTGAAAGAAAAAAATTCAGACTGATCTAGCTCAATCGAAATCTACTATTCTACTCTTTAAACAAGACCTGCAAGCAAGAATTCGGTCAACTGTAGTCCACTCTGATCGAATAGCAACATAGTCCTCTTCAGAGTTAGTCATTGATGACATTTGACGATGGAAATTATTCACTTTAGTCTTTAAACGTGGATGCAGCTTGTAAGCTTTCAGAAACTCTTTTTCAGGCACCCTGCAACAGTGATAGGAGAATATAACTTCAACAACATCAATACGCATAGTTTCAAAAGATTTAGGAGAGGAAACCAAAATGGGGACAAGAAAAATTGGTAACAAGGAGCAACAAAAATCTATTAGCCTGATAAATTACAAAATCTAGCACTAGTCTGGGAAAAGGTCAATTGGCTAAAATTTTTGTATAAAAATAAAAAAATATAAAAATAAAAAATAAAAGGAAAACGAGACTCCTATGAAGCAAAGCATTATTGAATGTACTAAAAGAAGCTCCAATATGATAGTAAATTGTCACCAGTGCAGATAGAATAGAGAGCAAATAAAGAAGTAGCAAAGAAAGGATTGCTACAAAGAGATACCATATGCAGTGAAGATAGGACAATCCTTTCCACTTAACAAGATACTGTTTAACAAACACTTGCTTCGACCCTGTCTTGGAAGCATCACTATCATCAGCAACAGTTGGGCGCATTTCACAATCCAATATCTTGTCAATATCATTTAGGGGGCTCACCTACATATACATGGTAAATCATAGTGAAAAAGAAAGATTCTGATAGTACGGATGGACTTTCAAGCTTTACAGAGGAAGAGAACATACACATTCAGGACACCTCCAGCTGCTAGGAAGAGGAGCTTTTAGTGGTGGAAGTAAACACTTAGGATGGTAAGCATAATTACACGATTCACAGTACAAAAGATCGCCCTCTCCTCCACAAGCTTGACAGGATTCATCTTTCTATAATAGAAATTCACTTTCATCATTTTCTCCAATGTAAGTAAAACTAATAAAGATCATTATCGTGCAACAAAAAAGGGGCATGCAAAGAACCTAAATTAGACCAGGATATAAGTATGTACAGCAAAGAAATAGCATAGAAAAGCAATAATCAAGAGCAATTTACCGCGTCTGGACGGATAATTTTTTCAAATATTTCCTGGCTAGGCTGAGACTTCTTATCAACTTCATCGTCAGAGTCATCAAATAAGCTGTAAATGGGTCTTCGATCTGTTCGCACGCGAAGCCTCTCCACTAGGCTCGACATTTTCTGCAATTAAACTAAGAATTAAACAAGGCACGCAAGTTAAACACGATAGCACCCCCAAAAAAATCACAAAATCAGTTGAACCCAAATTAAAACCAGAAACGTTTAGTCCGAATATGGTTTTTCAGCTGAAACAGAAATAATTACACAATTTTTTTGGTTACAACTTATACTACGTAGGAACTAACTGTAAATAACTTAAAATCTTGGATCAACCACTTGGAATTCAATATCAAGTAATATTCAGATAAATTTAGGTGAAATGAGACGAGGAATAGGGTTAGGCAGAATCTTTTGGTGTTGAGCTGAATCACCTGCTATGTGTTTGTGAATGTGCCTAGGAGAAATAATGCTGATGAGAGTAAGCGAAAAGGACAGTTGGAGTACTCAGATTTGCTGAATTTATCGTTGTAGGAACGACAGAGAAAGGAATTAGTTCATCTGAGGTTGTACCAGACAACTACCGACTTGTTCCCACAACGACAGGGGGGTGTCTCTTCGTTTCCTTTTCTATTTTTGGATAGTTTCACAAAATTTCCCCTCAGGTTTCGGCTTATGACGCATGCTTTCCTATAGTTTCAAATATTACACAATTTCCCTTTCAGCAAACATATATTGTAACAAAGAAGGTGCAAGTACTTTTCGAGGTCTGTTTGGTTCACATGTTAATTATATTAGTATAACATAGATTATTTGTACAGTAAATAATAATAATAATAATAATAATAATAAAGTAGATTTTTATGCTACGATTAATAATAAATAGATTCCTACTCTTAATAAGAGTCAGTTGAGGAGCTTGGGATCGTCCTGTAAGCTTGAAGAAATATTGTTTGCCCATTGATTAGCTCATTATTACTACAATTGCCATCATACAAAATAAGTAAACAAAGGGTTACTTTGACTACATATACAACGGCTTAGTCACTTATTCTCCACTAAGCCACGTAAGATGGTACAATTTATAAGGATTTTCATTTTTTTGTATAAAGGGATGAGGATAAAATTTCAAAGGTTTTCTATTAGGTTCCATCATATACTGTGAGCAAGGTAAATTATAACCCATTTTCTATTGTATATATTGTTTAATATGTGCTCAATAATTTTAAACGTTTGTGAAAAAAATAAATTATACTATGCTTGAAATGTAATCTAGAGCATTTAAAGTTTTTTAAAACTCAGTTGAGAGCTTTGGAGTTCCTCCATTTTTTAAAATATTCTAAAACTACCGTTTGTATTGGTAAAATTTAATTTGAAGAACAAGTGATAAAATTTAATTTTTCAGGAAGATTTTAATGTTGAATCCATTTTTAATAATTAACATAAATTCAAAGCAAAAGAGCAAGAACATAAAACGTTATCTAGGCAGAGTACACATCTCTATTTATAAAACTTATCCCTTAAAATATTACATAAAATAATTTTGTGTCATATACTGCATAATTCACTTACTACTAAAGTATACAACAATATAAATAATTGAATCAGTTGTTAAAATAATATAGCAAAAGCATAAAAGAAGACATACCACTAAAACTCTTATGACTATTTTGGTAGTTCAAATATTTAGGATTTAAATCTTACTTGATATTATCTAAAATTGCGTTAAAGCGCGAAAAGATATTAGCTTTTCCTTCAAATAAACATAATAAGAAAAGCCAAACACTTACTAGGATTATTCTAGATGTTAAGATGTATTACAAAAACCTACATCCATTACAACTTTTATAAACAAAAATTGATGTCACTAACATATAGGTGACAAAAAAAGAAATGATAAAAACTAATTATCAAAAATCACACAATTACAATAAGCATGATATGAGTTTCCACATTCAAGAAATATGCACCATTATAGTAAACTTAGTTTGATTACAACTTTTATCATAATACTTATTTTTAATGACACCTAATTTTTTGGGCACTCGGGGTGACTTTCAATGTACTGATGATAGTGTTGAAAAATTAAATATCGCATTTGTGATTTTAGATTGGATAAGAAGAGAATTATATGTGATTGATAAAAAATTTACTATTATATTAATTGGACGTTACAGGGACATGAGACAAAAATATATAGGTGCAATTGTCTTACTTCACAAATATCGACATCAAGTATATACTTTTTCCAGCCAAATATAAAATAAATCATGCATAAAAATTTAAAAAATGAAAATTAATTTATCAAAACGAAGAGTTGTCGAGATGTCATAATTTTAATGTACATTTTAGAATTTTAAATATTAGACTGAATCATGCTCATCTTACAATTGCTAAAAGAGATAACACTTGCTCAACAAGCGTATGATAATGTCATTTCCGCTAAAAGTATTGGTTTGATGTATATGAAGATTTGCATCACTATTACATGTCTACTACTTTAGTTGTCCTTTAATTTGCTAATTGTATTTTTAGTCCATTGCCTAGGCTCATTTTGATAACTATGCTTGGAATTGGTTTTGTTAATTGAATAAGTCTGTAAGGTTACTATTACTTAATAAAATCCCCCACCCCACCCCACCCCAAACCCAATCACATTTTACTCAAATAGTTTTAGAAGATCTCAAAATAATTTTTGTAAATAGGGTTTTTTCCAACTTCTGTAACATGAACCCGCCACTGCTTGAATTCAAAAGATAAATTAGGATTATATATGAAATATAACACACGAACTATCTTTTTCTTTGGGTCAATGTGGGAAGAACAAACTCCAGCTTAATAAATAAATATGATATAAATAAAACTAACAAAGAATTGAACTAAGAAGCTTCCAAATGTTGGACTCGTGTCTGGGCTTACGTATTGTTGGTGAACGTACACTTTGATGTAAAATAAATAATTTTTGTGTTGATATTGCCTGTGACTCACGGCTAATAGCTCGTATGGTTCCTCATCTCCATATAAAATCTTCTTCCATATGTGCTCATTCTATATAGACATTTAGTTAATAATTCTGCTACTCATTCTGATAATTTCGATAGAGAAAAAAATGTCCATTATATCTGCTAATCTGTGAGTATTACTTTAAGTGCACAAAAAGTGATATAGTCGGGATAAAGCTTCATTGTAGTGTTAGTTATCAAAAGGATTAGGTTATGCTTTGTTTGGTAATTTGCATGTACTTTAGTAGCGTGAAAATATAGTATGTTTTATACAACTACAAGAAAAATAATTCAACATTCTTGGATCTCTTGTCTAACTACGTCCTTTTCTATTTAATATGGATACCTTTAGTACAAATTTACCTAAGTGCTTGCATTGTTTTCTTCTGTCACTTGCATTAAAGTAGTGTTTCCATTGGCAAACCAGCTAGAGAAAATAAAGTAATTGTGATTTACAACTATGAAATATCTTATTTTTTCAATGTATTATACTTGCAGTGTATATTTATCACCATCTGCATAACCAATACGGCAGATTTAAATGCAAAAGTGTGTGACATCTAAAACTAATATTATTAGTAACAATAATAGATAGTTGTTGGACCCGAGCATAGCCCGGGCACACCATCACTAGTTATTTTACATGAATTACTTATTTTAAAAAGGTATTACTTTAATGCCACAGTGGGAATGAACTTATTCTTTTTCCACATTTTATTATTGAAAATAGAAAAATGGACCATATTAATTCTGCTCCCCACCCACCCCCAGGTCTCCCAAAGAGATTTAAATTATTAAGTTTTTTAGTCCAAGAGATTAATCTTAGAGTTGAGACGCGGAGTAAACAACCATTGGACACCTTTGAATATTGCTTTTCTTTTTCCAATTTAGAAATTCAAATTAATTAAGGAAAAATTTCACATAAAAATAATTGGGCTTCCTACTTTTTAAATTTTATATCTCATATTTCAATTTACAACCAAGTAGCCCAAAAATAACAGGCCCATATCCGAAAAAGGGGCGTTATTTCTATTTTTGGGATTCAGAAACGGGATTTTCTCTCTTTCAGCGGGATTTTTTCTCATTCTTTCCATTTTTCTTCCCCAAATCTACAAAAATGCGATTCTACACTCAATGTAACTCTAAAAAACCTAAAAATTCTTCTTCATCTCGAATTAACAACAAATCAAACACGAAAAGTGAAAAAAAAATTATGCAATCAGCGCGATTTTTATTTTTGCTGCAATTTTAATTTCAGCTTTTTGTTCGATAAAGCTTTATCCAGTTTACGCTCTTCATAGTAGTGAATGGGATGACAACAAATTTATTAATTTCGTCGGCGATTGTGTAATAATCGAGTCTACATTCAGCTACACCAATTTAGTTGAAACAATTTCGAAACGGATTAGAGTTGATTCTGAGTTAAATACATTAGAGATTAAGTTTCTCCCAAAGGATAGTTTTCCATCGATCCTGATTTACAACGATATTGGTGTTCGGGTGTATATTGAATTAAAGAAGAAAAACTTGGATTTCACTGAGTACCCGTTGTATGTGACTGTGAACGAGATTTATGATAATTGTTTGGTTACTACAAGTTCCAGTTGTTTGGTTGCTACAAGTTCCAGTTGTATAGATAAAGGCAAATGTGTAAATGATATTGAAGATGCATCCACAATTGATAGCATTGAGATTATGCCTGATATCGAATTTATTGAAAACACCGATTATGGTATAATAGATAATATGTTAAATGAATTGGTTGAGGAAGATCAAGTTTACAAAGATAAAGAGACAGTTGTCAGTGTGATGAAAAATTTGGTTGTACGCGAGAGGTTCCAATTCAAGGTGAAGAGATCAAGCGCAACAAAGTATGGCAATAGTTGTATATTCTGTTATATATATGTATAAATATGTATAAAGTAGTATATATTTGTATAGAGGTATTAAAATTAGTATATATCTATTTATATTTTTGTATACAAGTGTATTTAGAAGTTGAATGATCTTTAATCCTAGGTATCACTTTATGTGTGTGGATGACAATTGTTCTTGAAATTTCAAATCTTCTGTCGTTTACAAGGCAAACATATTCAAGGTGAGAAGTTACAATAATAATCACACATGCGGCTATGGTAAAAAATACTTAGCACAATGTCAAGCTACATCGGGTGTAATTGCTAGTATAGTAAAGGACGAGTATGTTAATCCAAAAAATGTTTACACCACAAATGATATAATAGAGGACATACAAAAGCAACACGAGGTTGAAGTGAGCTACATAAAAGCATGGAGAGCTAAAGAGATAGCAATGGCAATGATAATAGGGAATCCGAGCGATTCATATAAGGAGTTGCCGAGGTATTTGTATATGTTGGAGCATACAAATTCAGGAACGGTTACAAAGTTGCACAAATCAGAAGATGGATGCTTTCTTTACGTATATGTTTCGCGATATGCATCTATCAAGGGTTGGGAGCATTGCAGGCCGATAATGGTTATTCACGGAAGTTTCCTTAAAGCAGCATATAAGGGTACCATATTGACTGCTTGCACACAGGATGGAGCTGGTGAGTTGACTGCATCTACCTTGTTTCTGCAGTTTGTATAATGTTGTAGT